GACTGACTGACTGATTGACTAACTGACTGACTGATTGACTGATTGACTGACTAACTGATTGACTGGCTGATTGACTGATTGACTGGCTGACTGATTGACTGATTGACTGGCTGATTGACTGACTGACTGACTGATTGACTGGCTGATTGACTGACTGATTGACTGATTGACTGATTGACTGACTGACTGATTGACTGACTGACTGATTGACTGACTGATTGATTTATTGAGGTCATCCTGACCTTGAACTTTTGCTTGAGTTTGGTGCACTCGTTCTTCTTCTTCTGCAGTTTGTCTCGACATTTGTTCAGGTTGTCGATCAGATTCTGATTTTGTTTGCTGAGGTCATCGATCTCTTCTAATGAAAAAATGACGAAAGAATAATTAGAGTTTGTGTCGTTTTCTTTTCTTCACCATCTCGTCAGGTGTCGCAGTCGACTGTACCTGCACCTCCATCTTCCTCTCATTGAACTCCTCCTTCAACTTCTCCTGCTCTTTGGAGCGTGCCATCATCTCCTGCTGAGCCTTCGTCTTCACCTCCTCCTCATCATGTTTCTCCAGAGTCAGCCTGGCTATGACATCCTCCGCCTCCTTTGTTTTATTCTGAAAGGGCACCAGGAAGGAGTCAAAGAGAAAAGACAGTGAGACATTTTAGGCATTAAATAGATCCTGATGATGATAACGAAGATTATATGATCTGATTATGACAATAACAAGGATTTATCTGTAAACAACACAAATGAAATAAAGCCTTTTCATAAACATATATGTACAGTATATATATATATATATATATATATATATATACTGTACATACTTGACTTCCTGTCACATTCTGTCCAGCTTGATGCGTGCCTGCAGCGTACTCCGGCAAAAATAGACTCGCAGCGTTTACGAAACGAAGCAGAGCGCAGTGCCGTTGGTGCCCGGAGACGGGCTGCAGCGCTCACTGTGTGAACACAAAGGGTGCGTCCTAATTGTCTTATTTTCTTAAGAAGGTTCCTAACTGAGTGAAATGACTCCGAAGCATTTAAGTGGCAGCCATGATAAGAGCTGTTTGAATTCTCTGGAATTCTTTGGAAAGGTGGGTCAATGCTTCCTTTATAACCTCCTTTAGGATACACTGGACCATCCTTTACCAAAGGAGATGAGATATGACGTCCCACAATTCCTTGCGGCCACAATATTTAAAGCGAGTCGCTCATCCGACCGCTCAAGGACATTAACGATGATCGTAAAGTGACTCAGATCATGTGAGAGACATTTTTATCCAGATGAAGTTTTATTTACTTCAGGATACTTTGTGCAGATAAACATTCTGTATATCTTTCATAAACGTAATAATATTTATTCTGATGTTGATGTACGAGTGGAGAGGAAGCTGATGGTTTCTCTTTTCTTACTCGCAGTCTATATGTCTTATATTTCAATCCCAACCTCGTGGTAATCAGGATTATTTCACCGGTAAGAAGCACAGGGAAAAAAAATGTAGATGATCTTTTTGTAGTCCATTATCTGAACATTGTATTTTCAACACGGTGGACCCACGTCATTAACCTCCGCCGGTCCGTCACTTTAATGACGTGGCCTAGTGGAAATGTGGTCGGATTGTCAGAGCAACGCAATCACCTTTCCCTAAGTCCTTTATGAATTCTCCTAAAAGCTATGTTCAAGCGCAGGTAATTGAGAATATATTTACAAATATGAATACACTGATGGATTAACAGCGTAGATATTGCACGGTTCATGTATACATTGCACATTTGATGTATAAATATTGTCCAGTTTTAAACAGATTGCACAGTTTAAGTATAGAAAAAATAAATAAAAATAACGATATGAACTGCAATAAACAAGCAGAAATGAAGAGCATAAAACAGTTTCTGTCTGTCTGCTGTTCTCAATGTTTCGAAAACGCTTATGTTTACAACATGTGCCTTCTAACTCCAAAATAAACAACACAGCCACCCTAGCACTGGCTAGGGTGGCTGTGTTGCAGTTTGAGCATGACATCAGAGCAGCATCAAAGGCCAAAATATTCATAATAATTTCAATCCACTAATAATTCTGCTGCCAACTAGTGAGGGTGCATGATGACGCCTAGTAGATTTTGATTATTTCAGTATCATTAAAATGTTCATGATGTGTGTAATACCTTGGCTTTAATTCCTTCTATATCCTCATTCCCATGAACTGACACATCTACTTTAGTTGTTATTACAACAGTGCTTCCCAGAATCAGGTTTGACTAACCCTCAGAGAATGAGAGTGAACCTGTTGTATTCAGCTGTGGGCTTTAAGTCTAGATGGACACTGATAATGCTGAGCAAGAGGTTTTTTTTTTTACTCAGTGGCGCCTTGTCTTGTATCTTGACTCTTGACTTTACAATTGCTGTTTTTTTCCCCACAAATTAAAATAGGTCAGGTGGTTTGTAGGTGATAGGTCAGAATCAGAATCAGAAATACTTTATTAATCCCAGGGGGTAATTTGTTGCTACAGTTGCTCATAACACCAAAAATCAGTAGGAAGTACAGATACATTCACAATATAAAATAAAATAAAAATATTAATAACAATATAATAAGCATAAGTACCAAGTGAAAGCAATAATAAAGTAGTAATAAGTAATAACAGTGTTATATAAGGGGGGCGGAAGTGTGAACTGTCACTTTCTTACCTTCCATGTCTGCAGCTCTTTCTTTGCCTCTTCCAGCTGAAGCTCCTCCTCACAAATCAAACAAGGATATCATTGTAAATAAAGAGACAACTTGTTTAAATATAAATTATAACTGTGTGTAAATGAAGCCAAAGGATATGTAAAGAACATTCATCTCTTTATTAAGGCTTCATAACTCTTACCTCGCCCTTTTTCGTCATGTCAGCCATGATCCGACCTGAAACACTGAGACGAAACTGTTCAGCAACGGAATTAAATCAACTGCTTTAAATAAATTATTTCCTCACGGCAGTCTACCTGTTCTTTAGACCTGCGGTCTGATTTTATCGTCCAGTGAGTTTTTGAGGAACAAAAAGTCCTGAGAGCGGAGCAGGAACGTTACCGACTGAATCAGAATCAAAAGTGAAAGTTAAAGTGAACTAAACAACATGACGAGCGCTGCTGTATGGAAGGCCAAGTATGCCATAATTACAGCTCCGCCTCCAGACTGTGATTCCAAGTTCTGCCATCACTAAGTCTCTCTCTTTTCACACATTACACCTGGAAAACGGAATGTTTGTGTCCCAGTAAAGGGTATTCAATACCTTCAAAGTACTCTTTTGGTATCAAGTACTTAAAAATTGTACAGCAAGTAAATGCTATAACATAATGTCTTTCACTGCTTCTCTTCTGATGGTTTTCTGGGGTTAGGGTTAGGGTTAGTCAGTGTTAGTCAGTGACACAGGAAGCAGCAGAACCTAAAGTTGATCAATGAAACATTAGTCAAAGAGTACCTTTAGATCTGACATTATTGGAAAAGAAAAACAGGGATAGGGAGTTTCATTTTAACACACACATCATCCTGATACAGAGCCATCAAAGACACAGCTGGCAAAGTTGGAGTTTCATTTCTTGTTCCAGAGCTTCAGGTCAACATTGGGAAAAGAATCAGTGAGGGGTTATCAGAAGGGGGAATGATCACTCTATTATTATCAGTACAGTGGATAGAGGATACAAGAGCACTGACATCAGTCATTTGTTCAGATTCAAGTTCATCACTCATCAGTTTACAGTCATTCAGACAGCAGACATTTAGAAATCAAACTAACACTATACAGAAGTCAAATTATATTTGTATGGGACCCTGCACTCATAGGCATCAAAGGAATTAGCAGACAAGGTGGCAAAGGAGGCTTCAAAAAATACTCAAGTAGATTTAATAGTTAGCATCAGTGGAACAGAAGTGAAGAGCATTATTATACAGAGACTGAAGGAAAGGGGGCAAAAAAAGCAGAGGGAGGAAGAAAAGAAAGGACAAAGGTTTTACAGAATCTAAAGGAAGGTTGGAGAAATGAGAAGTGCAGGAACAAATAGGAGAAATGAAAGAATGATATCTAGATTCAGATTTGGACACACTGGATTAAATAACACATTGTTCAAAACAGGAAAACATAATACGACTACTGTGGACAACAGTTTAATTTAGTTTAGTTTATTTGCACATTTTTTGAAAGAAGAGTAAAACAGAAAAATTAAACAAATAAAAAATAAAACACATGTGCAGGTGAGGTAGAAACCCATGATGGCTTATCTCAAAACCTCACCTTAAGAGATTAAACAAAGTTAAAATAAAATACAGTAAAAAATAACAAAGTAAGAATATTTACTATCGCAAATAAAATTTACTCAATTGAAAATTACATACAAACATTGAAAACATAAAAATAGAGCAAAGCAGGACATACAATATGTAGACAATATAACAAAATCAGGACAATTCACTATTCACTACAAATCTTTCTGACATCAACACATTTCTGAGTCTCAATTTGTATCTAGAAAAAGACAAAAAATCATCAAGTAAATAAATATGCGTGTTCCATAATTTGACTCCACGGTATCTTATTGAGTCCTCGACATGTACGACACATTGGTAGGTAGAGGTTATTGGTTTGTCTAGTTGAGTAATAGTTCACTTGAGAATTAAAAATGAAAAATGCTTTAAAGCTTTCTGGCAAGTTTGCACTCATGTATTTAACTTTAAAAATAAAGCTACTTATTTTAAGACTATTAATATGTTACACTAAGTTGCCATTCTGAAATAACTTTTCTGGAGTAATAGAATTTCATGAAGATATGTTTGGAAAGTGCTGGCCCATACAATGTTACAATAAGTAAGATACAAATATATTAGGCTGTAATAATTTCATGTCTTCATAAAATTGTTTAAAGACCCCATATATTTCTTTAGACGATGAAACTAACACATCCCCTTTTTTTATAACAGGAATTACGCTATTGTTAGTCTGTTGTTTTAATTGTCTTGCCAGTAGTTTGCCTGTTTTGTCACCCCCTTCATAAAAAGTAGTTCGTAGCCGGAAAAGAGAATATTCTGCTTTTTTGTTATATATATTATTTATTTAAACTTCAGGTTACACAAGTCCTTGTATAAATCATCAGTATAATGCTCTGATAGAGACTTCTCCAACTTAATAATTTCCGCTTCCAGTTTCGACAATAGGCCCATATTTTCCCTTTTCCTTCTGGCCTGAGGAAAGTTTCTCTGTTGTCCCCACATTTAGATCAAAAACATGGTCAGGTCCTCATCTAATTCTTTGCTAAACCCCTCGTCATTCAAAAGTGCGATGTTCATCCGCCACCTACCCCTCTTTTATACTAGTTTTTCTCATATTTTGGAAAAGCATGAAAGAACTGAGATGGGACGGTAGTTTGTAAAATGTCCTGGAATAACCTTTAATAAGAGGAGACAGTGGAACATGTCAGAAGTTTAAAAAGAAGACAGATGATGGAGAACCTGAAAGAAAGTACGTTTGGATTTAACAGAAATCTTACCAAAGAATTCAGAAAGTGAAGGCTATAGGATTTCCTTTCAGTACCTTACAAACTAAGTTGATTGAGATTGAGTTGATTTTTTTATTTTAAATGTTATTATTATTATTATTAATATTATGTACAGAAAGTTGTAGATATTGGATATTTTGATTTTGCGCAAATTCACATATTCGTTGTCTGCCAACCGCCATAAATCCTAAAAGAAGGGCGGGGAAGATGACGTCAGCTGTGACGTGACTGTTGTGTTTGTCCCGGAAGTGTCTCTTTCCAGCTGATGTGTTCAGGAAGTAGAATGTGACTCAGCTGTTAGCTTAGCTGTTAGCACAGACAGACACAGCGGGCTAACATGTTGTGGTTTCAGGGCTCCATTCCAGACGCTATTAGCTCAGCTAAACAGCGGGGCTCCGTGTTCGTGGTCGTTATCACAGGTATGTGTGTCACAGGTGTGTCTGTGTGTGTGTGTCTGTGTGTGTCACAGTGTGTGTGTTTGTTTGTGTTAGCATGTAGCTACTGTTAGCAGGAACTAAGCTGTGAACAGCGATAACCCATTTAACACCTTAATCACCTGTAACGAACATTTAACACCTTATTCACCTGTATAACAAACATTTAACACCTTAATCACCTGTAACAAACATTTAACACCTTATTCACCTGTAACAAACATTTAACACCTTATTCACCTGTATAACAAACATTTAACACCTTAATCACCTGTAACGAACATTTAACACCTTAATCACCTGTAACGAACATTTAACACCTTATTCACCTGTATAACAAACATTTAACACCTTAATCACCTGTAACGAACATTTAACACCTTATTCACCTGTATAACAAACATTTAACACCTTATTCACCTGTATAACAAACATTTAACACCTTATTCACCTGTATAACAAACATTTAACACCTTATTCACCTGTAACGAACATTTAACACCTTATTCACCTGTATAACAAACATTTAACACCTTATTCACCTGTAACGAACATTTAACACCTTATTCACCTGTATAACAAACATTTAACACCTTATTCACCTGTATAACAAACATTTAACACCTTATTCACCTGTATAACAAACATTTAACACCTTATTCACCTGTAACAAACATTTAACACCTTATTCACCTGTAACAAACATTTAACACCTTATTCACCTGTATAACGAACATTTAACACCTTATTCACCTGTATAACAAACATTTAACACCTTATTCACCTGTAACAAACATTTAACACCTTATTCACCTGTATAACAAACATTTAACACCTTATTCACCTGTAACAAACATTTAACACCTTATTCACCTGTATAACGAACATTTAACACCTTATTCACCTGTATAACAAACATTTAACACCTTATTCACCTGTAACGAACATTTAACACCTTATTCACCTGTATAACGAACATTTAACACCTTATTCACCTGTATAACAAACATTTAACACCTTATTCACCTGTAACAAACATTTAACACCTTATTCACCTGTAACAAACATTTAACACCTTATTCACCTGTATAACAAACATTTAACACCTTATTCACCTGTATAACAAACATTTAACACCTTATTCACCTGTAACAAACATTTAACACCTTATTCACCTGTATAACAAACATTTAACACCTTATTCACCTGTAACAAACATTTAACACCTTATTCACCTGTATAACGAACATTTAACACCTTATTCACCTGTAACAAACATTTAACACCTTATTCACCTGTAACAAACATTTAACACCTTATTCACCTGTAACAAACATTTAACACCTTATTCACCTGTAACAAACATTTAACACCTTATTCACCTGTATAACAAACATTTAACACCTTATTCACCTGTATAACAAACATTTAACACCTTAATCACCTGTATAACGAACATTTAACACCTTATTCACCTGTAACAAACATTTAACACCTTATTCACCTGTATAACAAACATTTAACACCTTATTCACCTGTATAACAAACATTTAACACCTTAATCACCTGTAACGAACATTTAACACCTTATTCACCTGTAACAAACATTTAACACCTTATTCACCTGTATAACGAACATTTAACACCTTATTCACCTGTATAACAAACATTTAACACCTTATTCACCTGTATAACAAACATTTAACACCTTATTCACCTGTAACGAACATTTAACACCTTATTCACCTGTAACAAACATTTAACACCTTATTCACCTGTTTATTGTGTGTGTGTGTGTGTGTGTGTGTGTGTGTGTGTGTGTGTGTGTGTGTGTGTGTGTGTGTGTGTGTGTGTGTGTGTTTCTAGGAGACGACCAGCAGTCTTCTCAGCTGATGTCCAGCTGGGAGGATGACATCGTATCAGAATCAGCAAACAGCTGCTGTGTGGCCATCAGAGTGGACGCAAAGAGGTATTGACCACATCTCACGTCAGCACAGTCCTTCCTTTAGAGTCACCTGCTGTCATATTAGCCTTCATACTGAATACTTAAAGGGATACTTCACCTGTTGAAACATGAATCTGTACTGACATTGGGTCATATATATAGAAATGTGAAATACATTTTGAAGTCGGTGCCTTCTTGGCCGAGAAAAGGCAGAAAGTGTTTTTTTGGCTCATGTGGATGAAATCCCAAATCCCACTCCCACTAAGGTCCTCTATTTCAGAATCAGAAATACTGTATTAATCCCAGAGGGAAATTCGATTGTTACAGTTTCTCCAAAATATACAGGATAGCAGTAGAAATATAGAAATAAAAACATTTACAGACATGTTTACTTCAACACATAAGACCATTTACACAACTGATTCAGAGATTTCTTCCAGAATTGATCTTGTAAATTCCTGTCAGAAAACAGACTCTATGTCTGTGTCCATAGACAAACAGTGAGAGCACCAACACTACCAGTCCGCCCCAGCTCCAGCCGGCCCGGCTCCTCGTCCTCACCGCCGACATGCAGGCCTTACTCGCAATTCACACATACTCCGTGCACCGCCACAGTTTTGCTCCCTTGGACGGCTCGCGCCCATTCACACTGGATCCGTTTTTGCGACGTCAGCGCAGCGGAGCGTACCCATGACACATCACAGGAGAACTACAAGATCCTGCGGGAATAAAGAGAAAAACATGCGAACAACATGTTGCTTTGTCTTTCTGAGGATGCATTGTTGTTCATTCGGTTCCTGTTTTGACGTAATGCTGATAAAGTGATGAAAAATACAATCGCGTGTCCGTATATTGTGTTTTATTTTGAAATTGACCGGATGCTCTGTGCGTTTCCTTGTCTGACTTCCTGTCCGGGCTGTCATATTCTGTCCAGTTTGACGCGTTCCTGCGGCGTACTCCGGTGAAAATAGACTCGCTGTGTATTTGAAACGGAGCAGAGCGCAGCGCCGTCGGTGGCACATGCAGGAGACGGACCGCAGCGCTGTGTGAACACAATGATTGACTAGAGTGGAAGCTAAATACAACGTACTGCAGGGCGCTGACGGACCGCGGCACGCACGGAGTATGTGTGAATTGGGCTTTATGCCTCGGCTGCTGAGCTGGCAGTGGGCGGCGGTGGCCAGCAATATAGCCGCGAGGCGGTTGCTGCCGACAGGCCGGTCTTGTCTCGTGGCAGCCCTTAACGTGTTTGTAACGTGTTGTAACGTGTTGTAATGTGTTTGTAACGTGTTGTAACATGTTGTAACGTGTTTGTAACATGTTGTAACGTGTTTGTAACATGTTGTAACGTGTTGTAACGTGATGTAACATGTTGTAACGTGTTTGTAACATGTTGTAACGTGTTTGTAACATGTAACATGTTGTAAAGTGTTGTAACATGTAACATGTTGTAACGTGTTGTAATGTGTTGTAACATGTTGTAACGTGTTGTAACGTGTTGTAACATGTTGTAACGTGTTTGTAACATGTTGTAACGTGTTTGTAACATGTAACGTGTTTGTAACATGTTGTAACGTGTTTGTAACGTGTTTGTAACATGTTGTAACGTGTTTGTAACATGTTGTAACATGTTGTAACGTGTTGTAACATGTAACATGTTGTAACGTGTTTGTAACATGTGACGTGTTGTAACATGTTGTAACGTGTTGTAACGTGTTGTAACGTGTTTGTAACATGTAACATGTTGTAACGTGTTTGTAACATGTTGTAAGGTGTTGTAACGTGTTTGTAACATGTTGTAACGTGTTGTAACATGTTGTAACGTGTTGTAACGTGTTGTAACATGTAACATGTTGTAACGTGTTGTAACGTGTTGTAACGTGTTGTAACGTGTTTGTAACATGTAACATGTTTGTAACATGTTGTAACGTGTTTGTAACATGTTGTAACGTGTTTGTAACATGTTGTAACATGTTGTAACGTGTTGTAACATGTAACATGTTGTAACGTGTTTGTAACATGTGACGTGTTGTAACATGTTGTAACGTGTTGTAACGTGTTGTAACGTGTTTGTAACATGTAACATGTTGTAACGTGTTTGTAACATGTTGTAAGGTGTTGTAACGTGTTTGTAATGTGTTGTAACGTGTTTGTAACATGTTGTAACGTGTTGTAACGTGTTGTAACGTGTTGTAACGTGTTGTAACATGTAACATGTTGTAACGTGTTGTAACGTGTTGTAACGTGTTTGTAACATGTAACATGTTGTAACGTGTTTGTAACATGTTGTAAGGTGTTGTAACGTGTTTGTAATGTGTTGTAACGTGTTTGTAACATGTTGTAACGTGTTGTAACATGTTGTAACGTGTTGTAACGTGTTGTAACGTGTTGTAACATGTAACATGTTGTAACGTGTTGTAACGTGTTGTAACGTGTTTGTAACATGTAACATGTTGTAACGTGTTTGTAACATGTTGTAAGGTGTTGTAACGTGTTTGTAATGTGTTGTAACGTGTTTGTAACATGTTGTAACGTGTTGTAACATGTTGTAACGTGTTGTAACGTGTTGTAACGTGTTGTAACATGTAACATGTTGTAACGTGTTGTAACGTGTTTGTAACATGTAACGTGTGTTTGTAACATGTTTGTAACATGTTGTAACATGATGTAACATGTAACATGTTGCAACGTGTTTGTAACATGTAACATGTTGTAACGTGTTTGTAACATGTTGTAACATGTTTTTAACATGTAACATGTTGTAACGTGTTTGTAACGTGTTGTAACATGTTGTAACGTGTTTGTAACATGTTGTAACATGTTGTAACGTGTTTGTAACGTGTTTGTAACATGTTTTTAACGTGTTGTAACATGTTTTTAACGTGTTGTAACATGTTGTAACATGTAACGTGTTGTAATGTGTTGTAACATGTTGTAACGTGTTTTTAATTCTTTCTTTTTCAAAGTGATACCTGTGTGCAGTTTTCTCAGATCTGTATCCTTTTTGTCTTAAGTTATTGATTAAATGATGATCTATGAAGAGAGTTATTGATCACTGAGGAGAGTTATTGATCTGTGACTGTGAGGAGAGTTATTGATCACTGAGGAGAGGTATTGATCTGTGAGGAGAGTTATTGATCACTGAGGAGAGTTATTGATCTGTGACTGTGAGGAGAGTTATTGATCACTGAGGAGAGTTATTGATTACTGAGGAGAGGTATTGATTACTGAGGAGAGGTATTGATCTGTGAGGAGAGTTATTGATCACTGAGGAGAGTTATTGATTACTGAGGAGAGTTATTGATTACTGAGGAGAGGTATTGATCTGTGAGGAGAGTTATTGATTACTGAGGAGAGGTAATGATTACTGAGGAGAGGTATTGATCTGTGAGGAGAGTTATTGATCACTGAGGAGAGTTATTGATCTGTGACTGTGAGGAGAGTTATTGATCACTGAGGAGAGTTATTGATCACTGAGGAGAGGTATTGATTACTGAGGAGAGGTATTGATCTGTGAGGAGAGTTATTGATCACTGAGGAGAGTTATTGATTACTGAGGAGAGTTATTGATTACTGAGGAGAGGTATTGATCTGTGAGGAGAGTTATTGATTACTGAGGAGAGGTAATGATTACTGAGGAGAGGTATTGATCTGTGAGGAGAGTTATTGATCACTGAGGAGAGTTATTGATCTGTGACTGTGAGGAGAGTTATTGATCACTGAGGAGAGTTATTGATCACTGAGGAGAGGTATTGATCTGTGAGGAGAGTTATTGATCACTGAGGAAGGTATTGATAAGCCATGTGGGATAAGCCGAACAGATTTTTATTATCCCTCTCCATTATAACTTAAGGTGACATGTTTGAGTGGAGTCTGTTCCAGGTGAAGCTCTATGTATTGTTAATATGTAGTCATGACGACTGTGATAAGTCTAGCGTGAGACAGAGAGGAGCTTTCCTGCAGCTTGTCCAAACAGAAGTTTACACAAAGAGTTTGGGCCATTTTCCTTAAATCCTTTCCCATGAAGATCCAGTGGTGTGCATACCGTCAAGCTTCTTCATCGGAGACAATGGCATTCCACTGGAGGTCATCGCTGGCAGCGTGTCTGCTGAAGAGCTGATCAACAGAATTCACAGGGTGAAGCAGGTAATATTACCATAAATAGTGTCTTATAAGTGAGATAATAAACATTTGACTGACCAGATCAAAAACAGTCTACATTATACACAGATCACTTAAGAGATCAGGCATTTAACAGGTGATTCCTCCTGATCACTCCTCATGTTACATTGTTCAGCTCTCTGTAGGCTGCAGTTCTTCTGAATTTCCCCTCTGCCATCAATAAAGTATTATCCTATCCTAATGGTTCTGCATGCTAAACAATTTAACCTGTTTTCTGACAGATGCATGCTCAGCAGATTGGACCAGACACAATGCCTCCTGCAGAGAACAGTCCCCATGACAACAGGGCTTCACATCCAGCTCCAGAACCAGCTCCAGATTCAGATCCAGGACCATCAGGAGGCGTCACGTCAGCAGCAGAAACAACAAAAGGTGTGACAAAGAAGCTCTCTCTGTGTCTTTGAGTTTCTCTGTCTATCTCTCACTCTATCTGTCTGTGTCTATGTTCTTCTCCACTCTTTAGTTCAGATTGTGATTCTGTTGAACTACATGTAGCATTGATAGAAAGACACATATTCTCATTATAGCGTAATTTGATTTATATAGCGCTTTTCTAAATACTCAATATCAGGAGCAGTCCTCCTGAAATTATGTAGAAATGTTTAGGAGTGTAAACGTGATAACAGCATTAAACTCTGTGCGTGCGTGCTTGTGTGCGTGTGTGTGTCTCAGTGAGTCCTGCTGATCAAACCTCCTCTCAACATCAGAGTGACGAGAACCTGGAAGCTAAAGTGGAGAGGTGAGAGCACACCTGTAGCTGTGATGTGTGTACTGTCCAGTTACTTTTACACGTTTACATTTATATATTTTTCTATTTAATCTTTCAGGTTGACGAAAAAACTGGAGGAGAGACGAGAGCAGAAGAAGGTGGGAGAAGACGAGGTGAGGAAACATGTGCTGCACTCAGGTCTGATAGCATTATCCCGTCTGCTCTTTTTATAAAGCGTCTCCAGATAACACTTGTTATGAATTGGCACTATTCAAATAATGATTGATTGAAGTGACCTTAAGTTTCGCTATTACCTGGCCACTTTTGTGCTCTGTGTCATTAGCTTAATGAGCTAGCAGAAGCTAGCTCCTGTAGAGATTTGATGAAGCCTTGGCATTCTCGTCTCTGATTGGTCGGTTTGTTGTGACTCAGAACGAGATCAGGAAGGAGATGGAAAGGAGGAAGACGGGCAAAGACGTGCAGGACTTTAAGAAGAAACAGGAAGACGAGAAGACGAAGAGACTCATGGAGGAGAGGAACCGAGAGAAAGCCGAGGAGAGAGCAGCCCGAGAGCGAGTAAAACAGCAGATTGCCATGGTAACGTCACCCTCAACATCCACCCCCGAAACCCCGAGACCCCCAAAACCCCGAAATCCAACCTAACCGATCCTTATAGATTAAATGATAATAATAATGTTCTCCGTGTTCAGGACCGCGCTGACCGGGCAGCGCGTTACGCTAAAGTCCAGGAGGAGGATCAAGCGGCTAAACTGGCGGCCCAGCAGGTGAGACAGGCGGAGCAGGAGGCCCGGAGGGAGGTGCTGCTCAGGGAGAGGAGGTACATCGTGTGTGTGTGTGTGTGTGTGTGTGTGTGTGTGTGTGTGTGTGTGTGTGTGTGTGTGTGTGTGTGTGTGTGTGTGTGTGTGTGTGTGTGGTGTGTGTGTGTGTGTGTGTGTGTGTGTGTGTGTGTGTGTGTGTGTGTGTGTGTGTGTGGTGTGTGTGTGTGTGTGTGTGTGTGTGTGTGTGTGTGTGTGTGTGTGTGTGTGTGTGTGTGTGTGTGTGTGTGTGTGTGTCTGTGTGTGTCTGTGTCTGTGTCTGTCTTTCTTTCTGTTGAAACGTGGGTGTGTGTTAACAGCACCGTGGCGAGGATACAGTTCCGGCTCCCTGACGGCTCTTCCTTCACGAACCAGTTCCCGTCACAGAGCAGACTGCAGGAGGCTCGAAACTTTGCTGTCCAGGTGTGTTTCTGTTTCCTTCTACCTGTAAAGAGCTGACTACCACTGTGTTCTCTCTGTCTCTCCTCTACTACCTAACTTAAAATGTGTGCACTCCTCTACTCCTCACACTCGTTAACTTAAATAGTGTACACTCCTCTACTCCACACACTCGTTAACTTAAATAGTGTACACTCCTCTACTCCACACACTCGTTAACTTAAATAGTGTACACTCCTCTACTCCACACACTCGTTAACTTAAATAGTGTGCACTCCTCTACTCCTCACACTCGTTAACTTAAATAGTGTACACTCCTCTACTCCACACACTCGTTAACTTAAATAGTGTACACTCCTCTACTCCACACACTCGTTAACTTAAATAGTGTACACTCCTCTACTCCACACACTCGTTAACTTAAATAGTGTGCACTCCTCTACTCCTCACACTCGTTAACTTAAATAGTGTGCACTCCTCACACTCGTTAACTTAAATAGTGTACACTCCTCTACTCCTCACACTCGTTAACTTAAATAGTGTGCACTCCTCACACTCGTTAACTTAAATAGTGTGCACTCCTCTACTCCACACACTCGTTAACTTAAATAGTGTGCACTCCTCTACTCCTCACACTCGTTAACTTAAATAGTGTGCACTCCTCTACTCCACACACTCGTTAACTTAAATAGTGTGCACTCCTCACACTCGTTAACTTAAATAGTGTGCACTCCTCACACTCGTTAACTTAAATAGTGTGCACTCCTCACACTCGTTAACTTAAATAGTGTACACTCCTCTACTCCTCACACTCGTTAACTTAAATAGTGTGCACTCCTCTACTCCTCACACTCGTTAACTTAAATAGTGTACACTCCTCTACTCCACACACTCGTTAACTTAAATAGTGTGCACTCCTCTACTCCACACACTCGTTAACTTAAATAGTGTACACTCCTCTACTCCACACACTCGTTAACTTAAATAGTGTACACTCCTCTACTCCACACACTCGTTAACTTAAATAGTGTGCACTCCTCTACTCCTCACACTCGTTAACTTAAATAGTGTGCACTCCTCACACTCGTTAACTTAAATAGTGTGCACTCCTCACACTCGTTAACTTAAATAGTGTACACTCCTCTACTCCTCACACTCGTTAACTTAAATAGTGTGCACTCCTCTACTCCACACACTCGTTAACTTAAATAGTGTGCACTCCTCTACTCCTCACACTCGTTAACTTAAATAGTGTGCACTCCTCACACTCGTTAACTTAAATAGTGTGCACTCCTCTACTCCTCACACTCGTTAACTTAAATAGTGTACACTCCTCTACTCCACACACTCGTTAACTTAAATAGTGTGCACTCCTCACACTCGTTAACTTAAATAGTGTGCACTCCTCACACTCGTTAACTTAAATAGTGTGCACTCCTCTACTCCTCACACTCGTTAACTTAAATAGTGTGCACTCCTCTACTCCTCACACTCGTTAACTTAAATAGTGTACACTCCTCTACTCCTCACACTCGTTAACTTAAATAGTGTGCACTCCTCACACTCGTTAACTTAAATAGTGTGCACTCCTCACACTCGTTAACTTAAATAGTGTGCACTCCTCACACTCGTTAACTTAAATAGTGTGCACTCCTCACACTCGTTAACTTAAATAGTGTGCACTCCTCTACTCCTCACACTCGTTAACTTAAATAGTGTGCACTCCTCTACTCCTCACACTCGTTAACTTAAATAGTGTACACTCCTCTACTCCTCACACTCGTTAACTTAAATAGTGTGCACTCCTCACACTCGTTAACTTAAATAGTGTGCACTCCTCACACTCGTTAACTTAAATAGTGTACACTCCTCTACGCCACACACTCGTTAACTTAAATAGTGTACACTCCTCTACTCCACACACTCGTTAACTTAAATAGTGTACACTCCTCTACTCCACACACTCGTTAACTTAAATAGTGTGCACTCCTCTACTCCTCACACTCGTTAACTTAAATAGTGTGCACTCCTCTACTCCTCACACTCGTTAACTTAAATAGTGTACACTCCTCTACTCCTCACACTCGTTAACTTAAATAGTGTGCACTCCTCACACTCGTTAACTTAAATAGTGTGCACTCCTCACACTCGTTAACTTAAATAGTGTACACTCCTCTACGCCACACACTCGTTAACTTAAATAGTGTACACTCCTCTACTCCACACACTCGTTAACTTAAATAGTGTACACTCCTCTACTCCACACACTCGTTAACTTAAATAGTGTGCTTATCATATTAATTTAAGATTCACAAGTCACATTTTGACAGGTATTTGCAACTCAGGAATTTTATAGCATCTAACTCTGATTACTTCCCTCAATGCCCGCCGGTTTCCCTGCTAGATTCAATTTTGAAATGTAAAATGGACACCAAACATATTATAGGCAAGATTTATATATTGCTCAACTCTGCTCAATGTTACTGGTCTGGAGAGCCTTAAGAACAAGTGGGAAGCAGACCTGGGTGAGGTAATTGCAGAGGCAGTTTGGCATAAAGTCATACAAAGGATTTATTCCTCCTTGTGTGCACGCTGTAATTCAGTTAAAGTTGTTCATCGTTTGCATTGGTCCAAAGATAAACTAGCTAAATTTAAACAGATCTTGACCCAACATGTGATCGTTGTAAACAGGCTCCTGCCACTTTGTTACATATGTTCTAGACATGCCCAAAACTTTTTGGTTTCTGCTGGAGACCTTTCAAGAATATGTGGGACAACGGTCGATCCCTCTCCACTGATCTCTGTTTGGTGTTGCCCAGATGAACCCTCCTGTTAATGGGCACCAAAACAATATGATAGCCTTTTGCTCCCTTTTGGCCAGAAGACTAATATTATCTAAATGGAAGGACATATGGCCAATGGATAAGGGAGGTCATGTTTCTAACCCACTTAGACAAAATCAGATATACTATAAGAGGTTGCACCAGGAAATTCTATATATTTTGTTGAAGATATGACAGCTAACAACATAACTATGTAACCTTTTTATTTCTTTTTCCTTTTTTCTGTTTTGTTTTTTTAATGTATTTTATTATTTTCTGTCTGTTGTTTATTTGTTTATATGTCAGTTTATTCTTCTTGTCATTGTCTGGCTGCAGGCTTACTGATGATCCAGTGCTCGGGGAATTGGGGATTGGACAGGTTTCCTTTCTGACTGTCCTATGTTTGTGCTGTTGTTGTTTATGTTTTTGTGATATATTTGAAAAAAATAAATAAAAAGACCTTGGGGGGAAAATTTTTTTTTTTTTAAATAGTGTGCACTCCTCTACGTCTACCACTTGTGAACTTGGAGGAGGATTGTTCATGGGGCCCAGGATTCAGAGCCATGCCATGTACAGACTGTCTGAGTGAAATCACGATAACCCTCTCATTTGTCATTATGTGCTGCTCCTGTTTCAGGAAGTGGGAAATCGCTATGGCAACTTCTCCTTGGCAAC